TAACAGAGATGCCCACCTCTAGAAATCTAAAATCTGGACATTCTAAAATTTTTCTCAATAGGGGGGGGGGGTGGGGGGGGGGGGGGTGCTTCATTTGGGCCCACATCTCTATGCACCAAATAATTGTGTTGTTAAGGTAATGGAGAGATAAAGTATTGATGGACTGTGATTACACAATATGACACACAGCTTAGAGACACACAGGGGTTGAACTGGAGTGTAAATAATTAAATCTCTGTTAGCCCTGACAGAAGCTTTTCTGTAAACTGAATTAGTGATGGTATTTGAATGAAAATGTTAAGTAGTCTAGAACTAAGCTCTATCTGAGTATGTGGCTGATAGGAATGCAGCATTCCTGTTCTTACCCCTTTCCCTCCCTTCAATTCTCTCCCTCTCTCTCTCTCATTAGTGCTTCTGACCATTTAAGTCGGAAAAATTGTATAACTTGAAAAGCTTCTTTTTTTTTTTTTTTTTTTGAAAAAGCTGCTATAACCTTTGATATCCAACTTCAGTCAAAGTCAAAAGTGGATACCAAACCAGAGTAATTATCTCAACATTGTTAACTGTGTATAATGAATTTGATGGCCATTAAGGCATAATTATCTCTTTAAGTGTTCTGAATGCCTGATGAAATGGATATGTAGCAGTAGTTTTGATTGTTAAAAAGAAATAATGTCTCTGATCCTAGACATGAAAGTCCATTAGAAAAGCTCCAAGGTCAGAACTCGCCAGAATAATCTTGTTATGAGTTGACTGAGTGGACAGTTAATTGGATGGTGTCTTTATTGATGACCGCTGTCCAGTTACTTACTATTGGTGTCTATATTGATGACCACTGTCTAGTTACTATTAGATTATGGTACAGTGATCCTTGTTGCCCATGTCACAGCTGCTCTCAACCATCTGGGCAATGATTTTCTTTCTTCTTTTTCTTTGCAAAAATTCATGCTGGACAATACAGGAAAGTGCAGATGCATTGAAAAATTTGTGGATGTCCTTCTAGAGTGAAAATAGAAAATACTCTCTCTCACCCTGAAAGAGGGTTGTGATTGCTACCCTGAGTGTTAGGAAACTGCAAGGTACCTTGACACCAAAGAATTCTGAAAAATAAAAATAATGTATGAAAATAATTCAATGAAACTTGTTTGTAGTTGTGCCTGCACCAGTGCATATCTAACATTACATTTGCAAAGTCTCTTGGGGTCTGGAAAAAGAGCTGGTTGTCTTTCTAGATGAGCCCCAGATGTGAAAATTTTTCATGTTCCATGGTCCCAAGATGGTTGTTGTCCTGCAGCACAGCATACTGAAGACATTCTGATAAGATGGAATGGTCATTGGCTTATGTACTAGTAGGGGCTCTATAGTTTTGTTTTACATTTATAGGAATTGTGTGTGTGTGTGTGTGTGTGTTGTGTGTGTGTGTGTGTTTGTGCAGGCTTGTATGTAAGATGTGTTCGTGTGAATGTGTTCGTATGAAGGTGTGTGTTTGTTGTAAATGTTATATCTGTGAGGAAACTATGTGTGTGTTTGTGTGTGTACACGCGTGTCTTTATGTGGGCGCACACTTCACTTGTTCATAGGGCTTCTGAGCAATGTTTTCTGCCTTTGCTACTACTTGCGGTCATTTGATTCATAGACCTTGATTTTATGTGCATATGTACTCTTACTGCATATTATGTTTTGTTTTAGCCAAAAAGCTTTGAAAAAAATAGTCAACACAAATGTATGAGTAAAAAAGAACAATTATCAAAATGTTTATTTTCAGAATGCTTTGCTTTCTTTATCTGGAAAAAAGTGGAAAGACAGCAGGAATATATCACAAATCCTAGTATATAACTACTGAAGTAATCGTAGTATACTACACATAAGGACACATATAAGGCTTATAACGTGCTAGTATACAATTTAGTCAAATACCAGTCAAGAACCTGGATGAATTTCTTCTGAGACATCATTGAACATGTAGACTTGTAAGCTTTGCAGTCTGACATCGAATTTCATCGAGCAGACTGGAAAGAAAGGTGTGGTTCCATTGAATTTGGGAGGTTCTAACTTACTATATATATATATATAATTAGTACAACCCTTCTCGTGGTGCCTGCTTGAAATAAGCTCTCCAAAGCAACCCACTGTACCTAGTTTGAAATACAGTCATGGTGGTGTGCAGGAAAGCTGAGGGATTAGAATCACCTGCTTTGGTGAGCTAAACATTAGCAGAAAGCCTATCAAAAAAAGATCAAACTGAGATGGGTTAATGCAGCTTGACTGGGAACACGACTTTATCTGGTATTAAGCCTTGTTCTATTGATTCTCCACACTTCCACTTATCTGTACTTCCCTGGCTCATAGAAAGGATAAACAGAATTTCTCTCTATTAGCATCCAGTTCATCAAATTAAGCTGATTCTCTGTTGTCTCGCCAACATGGAGGAAGTGCAGAATAACAGATGTGTGAAATTGCTTTCTTCTCCAGTTTTCTACCACTAGTATTTTCTAATATGACGCACAATTCAGCTCCCTGGGGCACGTTAAATACATTACCAGTTGTTGAAAATTATCACTGTTAAAAAAAAAAGAGGTTAATTAGTAGATGTGGTGCTTGTGATGGTAAATACTGGTCTTAAAATACATTAAAATTCAAACAGGAATGAGATTTTTCGAACTATCGGTGGATTTCTGACTTTTTGGGAGTCAAAAATATCTATTTTGAGATCACTGCAGATCTGCTATAAAAATGGGGGTGGGGATACTGGAGTAGGTCTGGACCCTACGCCATATTTCACTAAACTAGACGTTTTCAATAAATGGCAGTTTCATCCATGTTTGGATTTTGATTGGAATACAAAATAAAAAGAACAGTGATCTTGTTATACTACAAGTTAAAGTGAATGTTACATTTGTCTGTCTCACAGAATTTTTTATTTGCAATGATTGTTTATTTATTTATTTATTTATTTATTTATTTATTTATTTATTCTACAGTCTACACGTTTCATGTTACTTACTACATTGCGCTATTCTCTCTCTTTTCCAGTGGGGAAGACATCTCTGATCACAAGGTTCATGTACGACAGTTTTGACAACACATATCAGGTGAGACTGTTCAAACTTTTCTCAATATTGACTGTAAGAACACATTCAGAACAGCAGACTTAGGGTGTAATCACTAGATTACTGTCAGATAATCCGGCTTTAATGTCCATCCCGCCTACTAAGAGCTGTAAGGGGGTAATTAACTTTCGTGCCCACTCGGCTGACAGCTATTTAGCGTGAACCCCCAGGGAGTTAGGTCAATCTAAAGTAGATCGATCTAATCTCTGGGAATGGGGTCTAAGGCTGCATTCAGAACAGTCAACTAACTAGTCCGCAGATCAAATATGGCCAACCTACTTGAGCACTTTCCCACAGGGAATCTGTTCAGTGTCTATCAACGGATTAGACGGCAAGCTTTTTAGTTGGTGACTGGTCACCATATATTTGACCTCAGACTAGTTAGTCCACTGTTCTGAATGCGGCCTATCAGGTCTGAAGGTCAAATGTGGCCAGCTCACTTGAATGGTTGTTGTGAATTCCCAGAAGGGAATCTATTCAGTGTCTAATCAAGAATTAAGTGTTTTAGTGGGTCTCCATATTTGATCCGTGGATATGGTAGTCTGCTGTTCTGAATGTGCTCTTATATATATGTATAGATAATATTTAAGTTGGAATAATGGTACCTTTAATAGTAAAAGAAAATGAAACATGATTACCCCTTTCCTGAATCTTCAGACTGCAGATAAAGCCACCATCATGGTACATATCAGATGAGGCAGTGCAGGCTTATAGGCTTATATCATTGAATTTGACTGTAATACATTTATAATTGCTGTCTTGATTATAGCACAGTAGTGTAATTATAGAAGTAGGAGTAATGATGCTAGCATCTTTAGAAGCTATGAATATATTGTTATTTTGCTATAATAATTCATTGGAATGGTGATGTTTGATAAAAATTACAAATAAGAAGGAGTAAGTCAACTGGTATCTTTGGTACCAATAATAACTATGATTTGGCTTGAATATATAAAGAAATAATAGTCCACGATTTTTGATAATTATTATATTAAAGAAAATATCTCTTATGTGAAATTGTACTCCCTTTCCTGAAACTTCTGACTGAAGTTAAAGCTATCATGGAAACACAGATGATTTGGCCATATGATAATGGGACAAGAGAGTAACACAGGGTGCAATGGAACAGACAAGTTTTTACCATGACAGTAGCTAAATTCAGAGTGGTTTCCCAGATTGTAGCACTTGTTTGAAGAAGCTGTTGTTCTCAGTTTGAGTGCATAACACAAGTGATAAAATTCGTTGGTTAGAAACCAAGTTAACATTCGACAGGAGAATATATCTGGGACAAGACAGTGATAGTATTTATCCCCAACAGTAAACTATCCTAAGTTCCAAGGGTGTCTTCCAAAAACTATCAAGTATTGTTAAGATTCACTAATCCTTATCCTTACCCCATTGGGTAATGGTCGTTATCATCGATTTCTTTGGCGATTCCTGGAATTTCTGTTCATATTTAGTTCAGCGCAGGGTTGTTGTCCTCCGGAATGGCTCTCTGGCATTGTAATGATCTCATTACTGGGAATTGCCGTGATATTTCCTAGATCACTCACCGTTGGATGTGGAATTTGTGATATAAGTGCTACTTGGCCTGAATACTTAAGGTCGTTTTCCTGGATTCGACAAGCAGTGGAATTTTGATGGCCTGTTTATGGTGCATTTTCTGAGAATTTCTAATAGTTCTGACGGAATATCCTACATTATTTATACTCCCACGAACAAGAATAGCCTAATTTACTAATGGGATATCTATATCACCTGGAAGTCGAACTTATGGTCTATTTTTGGCTAAATATTATTATTTGACCTCTTTTATTTTAGTTGATCTGTGAGCAATGCATTGACCTTATTTATCTAATTTGGTGATATTTCTACAAGTTGACCTTATTTTTAGTGCCCATACTGTGAGGATAATTGACCTATCAGTAGTTGACCTTAGTTATCTCCTCTGGTCATTTATCATAGGTTGTCCTTATTTATCTGCAGTGAACTGAAAATATGGGTCAGTTCCTCTCTTCAGTGACAGCCACAAATTCTGTATGCTTCACTTGAACCCATTAAATTGTTTATTATAGGGAATTTATGTTTTTGTCTCCTTTAGATTGAACTGATGTACTTTTAGACAAAAAAAAAACAAGCAACCACTATTCTCATTCACGTTTCCTCTGTTTATAAGCAGATACTTCAATAGATTTATGTTGATTGAAACCAGACAGGTTTAGGGATGATGCCTTATAGTCTGTGGGTCAAAAACCAAAGCCTTCCCCCCTTAGCATCTTTCAGTCGCTATGTTTTGCTGTAAGCTTGGGTCCTAAAATGACTAGCCAGAGAGAGAAGAGATCTGGAGATATCATTACTAGTACTGGTAAATACAAACACTGAAGTTGTTGGAAAAGATACACAATTTGCCGGCCTGGAACAGATATATTTTGTCAGTTTGATGGCAGCCAAGAGATAAAATTTACAGAGAACGAAGTCTGACTTGTAACAAGTGCTTCTTGCCGGGATGAGTCAGCTTATTAGCTTTCTGTCTAGTCTATTCATCATCTTCTAAGATGTGTCCTCGAATGTCTAGGGATTTTATTGATCGATAGAATATTTGTATATCGCCCATGGTCGTGTTTAAGCCCCATTTTGACTAAAACCGTTTGGAGGCTATCTTCAGTAAATGGAGGTCTGTGTAGCACCCTGTTCTTTAGTCTGTGAGTTGAGGTATTGGCATTGTAACTCAACATATGTTGATTAAAAATCAACATGGGACTCCCAGGGTGATGATAATTTTTTAATTGCAGCGAAATCCTCTTTTTTCTGGGGTTAGTCTGGGATGGGGTTTACATGTTATGTTGCAGAGTTAGGTCTGATATCGCCCCTGGTGTAGTGGATGTTTGGTGCACTCAAACTTGCTCTCGGATGAAGTTTGATTTCTGAGATGATGAGAAAGATATTGGAGCAACTGATATTGGGACAAACAGATCAATAAATGATTTTTTTCCAACATGCTTTTACTTGGGTCTATAGAACAGTTACAGTTTTTTTTTTCTAAGTGTGAATTTTTGCCTGATTAATGTTGTATTACTGTAGTCAAACTTGTTTTGTACAGCTCTGAAGATTTTTTACTGGATTTCCACTGAAATTTGCAACTTTTTAAACCTCAGCAGAACCCAAAGGAGATTCATTCTTGCCCAACTTTAGGAAAAGGGAGAAGAAGGGTCTTTATTGTCTAACTGGAGAAATTAGGGATCACTTTTTGTACAACCAAATTTTTTAATGTCTTCAGTTAAATTGGTGTGGGTTGATACAGTGACTTTTTTAAAAGTTACTATTATAAATTTGTTTTATTAATTTCTAGTGTAAGTTTTTTACTTGTTTTTTTTTTTTTTTTTTTTTCATCTTTGATTTAACCAGTAGGGAAGGTAACAACGTCATCATAAAGAAGCAGAAACTGTGCACAGCCCAAAGGATGCTTTTCAATCTTTCAAACATCACTTGTATTGGTTTCTGCCCTGGGTTGAGTAATAAAAAAAATGCCAAATCAATAGAAGTGCATGGAAGCCTACTAATCTCCTATCTTGGCAACGGTCGTTGTTGTTATGTAAGTGCGATAGCTTCAAATAACCTCAGGGAGTCACGAGAGATAGAATCTGAATCAACCAGACGCTGTGACTGGTCAATCGATTACATTCTTGCCCTCAGAATGAACTTCGTTTGTTACCCTGATTTCCCCAAACCCCTGAGTAGATTTTAAATAGACCAACCTGTAACAGCAAATATTGGAGTGGTGATAATTCTTAGTGACAATTCTCTTGGTTGAGCAGTTGTTTGATGACTGTGGTGTAACCAACATGCACCGTTCTCTTATACTCCTTTAAGGTGCTTGATTTTCAAATCTCAGAGGCAACCATAGGACGTATTCTGAACAACTTGAAACAGGTGTTAACTTCAGTGACTGCTTATACTAACTGCTCCCCCTTTTGCCTTGTTAGACCCCATTCTGAAAAACACATACTACTAGTATTTGCTAAGTGCAATCAGTGGAATCTGCTTAATTGACTGACATGCCTCCTGGAGCAGCTAAGGAGGTACTAGTAATTATCCTGTGCATGCACTAACCTTTATTAAAGCCTAGCTGCTCCAGGAAGCACGCCATTCAGTTCAGCTGATTGGATTTACTTGAGAGCACTCAAGAGCTGAGTTGGACCAACCCAACTACAGTAGTTTGATGTGTCTGTCTGAACGCTCCCTCAGTATCTGTCACCTACATACTAGTAAGCATGCATACAGACATGTACGTGTGTGCACACATTGTTCAGATATTTTGTTAATGTAAGGAAGTACTCGCTTTCTGATCCCACGTTAACTACCGAAATGCAGTTGGGAACATGCACTAGTGCTCTCCCTCTCTCTCTCTCTCTCTCTCCACACACACACACACACACACACACACACACACACACACACTGTGTCACAGAATTGTGTTGAATGTGTACAAACCTAGCAATACCAATACATGTCAAGTTTGAAAGGAAAACTTACAAGCCCATGACTCATAGCAGTCAGGTTAATATGATCCACTGTTATTGATGGGAATAATCAAGAAACAATTATTAAAATGCCATGGAAATTTCTAAATATTTGGCAGTAACAACCTAGATGGTTATTGATCGGAAGACATTATGGGACTGGAATCAAGTTGATAGTTTTCTCCAGGACAGCACAAGGCCCTAGGGTGTCAGTTTTCACAAAAATAAGTTAGCCTGAGAAAATGGGGTTTAAACTTTTTTGACCGGAATTTTGGTCTGCTTCTGCCAGGACAGCACTGTGCCCTTGGGTATCAGTTTTTGCAGAAGTTTGGATGGAAAAGGGGTCTAAACTGCTGGAAAATTAGTGTGAACTTTTAGACCAGAATTCTAGTCTGTTTGCTTTTGAGCAGCCCTGGCCGGGGTGTCATCTTTTGCAAAAGTTTGGTAGTTTGGTTGGAAGAGTTGTCTAAGTTTTAAAACCAGAATATTAGGCTGCTTTCTCCAGGACAGCACTGGGCCCTGTGCTGTCAGTTTTCGCAGAAGTTGGGCTGTAAAACAGATCTTGACTTTTAGAATTTTACTCCAATTCTGTTAAACAGGGCCTGACATTAAGGGTGGCCCACTGGCCCTGGGCCACTGAAAACCAACCTCGGGCCATTGAATCGATGGGGTCACTGGCCCAAAGACCAAGTAAAATGTCAAATCATCCTTGCAATATTTACCCATATCGCGGGCCAGTGTCGAAAAAAAGTTAGTGTCAAGCCCTGTTAAAGACAAATTCTTAGTTTTTGGTCAATTTTAATAAATTATCCTTAAAATAAAAAATAAAAAAAATCTGGTCTTCTTTTTTCAGGGATATTAGACCTTTATATAGCAAATAATTTTTTTCCACTTAACCAATATATCATAATTTTATTTATTTATTTTTTTCAGGCCACAATAGGAATTGATTTTCTCTCAAAGACCATGTATTTAGAAGACAGAACGGTGAGTACATTTATTTAAAAATGCAGTTATGCCTAAAAATCACAAACTTTCCCATATATAGATTTTGTTTTATTGAGCACAAATATTCATCAGCTTGGTATAGTCCAAAGATAGTTATTTTTTTGAGCACAGTATTATTAAATCTTGCATGTTAGCTGACAACAACCTAGATGAAGTTCTTCATCATTGTAAACTTTCATGGTGGTTTGCTTGTGCACAGATAGTGATCACTGGACTAGGTTATTTTCATGTTTATCAATCATTACTATCCATGTTGTTTCTGATTTTAGAATGAGTGCAAGTTCAACTAGTGCGTGATATATGGAGGAGAAGTAATTAGGTTTCTTGTCTTGAACTCTTACTCCTTGATTAAATTGGTTGCATGAATAATTCCACTTCTGTTTTAAGATCTGCTATGTCTTTGTTTTCACAACCTTCAAAAAATAAGACTTCGAATTCCAGTCATAATGTGTTTTAAAATCTAGGGGTTATCTTTTTTTAGCTTATTCCTAAAATTGTCAGCAGCGTTTTATCTAAAATAGTAAATCTGATATTTCATCACTGGCAATTTGGTCATCTTGTTTTAAAACCTTGCTGATTAATTTTTTTTTTTTTTTTTACTATTTAAATAAACAAATATTTGAGTGTAAATTTTGTGCTTTCGTGGAAGACCTAGAAATTTGCCCAATCCCAATTGTATTGTATACTTGAATTTTGTGCTTTCATATCCTAAACTGTTAAAAATAAGTACAATCTATAAATTTTAGCTGTGACGAAGATGGAGACTGGCGAATTCAAGTTTTATAGAATTTAATTTTCTAAGTGGTTTGGGTGTGCTATACACTGGTTCTAAAGAGAAAATTGCCAAAATTTCCAGGATTTACTTTGCTATAAAAAGGTCTAATGTACATTGGTTGAAACAGTTTGTCTTAAAAGTATATAATCATTGCCTAATTTTCCTCCACACTACAACGTGTATCCAATCTTACTGTGCAGTTCCTCATATTAATTAATGCAAATAAATATCGATTGCTCAGGCCTGACATCAAATTGGGCAAGTAATGGCTTAGAAAAAAAAATCAGTTTCATTTACCTAATATGAGGTAATATCGTAAGATTTCCCATATCAGCGTCTGCACCAGAATAGTATCACATTGGACAATTAAGCAGTCCAGGGTTCAGGCATTATGTGCCACTGGAAATCTTATTACAAAGCCTAATACGAGGCTGTCGGTACTGCATGGATTTACAGGGACTCTTGCTGAGTACAATCTGCTTTAAAGAATAACTTGTCTCCTCTCGGGGTTATGTAGAATACAGAAAAGCTGGTGATTATATACGAGTTCATTGGAAACAACAGGAGGTGTGTCATTCAGTTGAGCTGATTACACTCAGCAAGAGTCCCCTTAAAGTCGCAAAGACCTACTTAGACGGATAGTGTCTATGGAAATGGGGTCTAAGGTTAATTTTTTGTCTTTAAAATGCTATATGAAAGGATAGTGATCCCCTAATATTTCACATTCTTATTTCAAATTTTTATTAATAACATTTAGATGTTAACTTTTTAAAATTTCTTGTAAATTCTAATTCACCTTCAGCTATTAGGAAAAAAAAAAACAGACACCTGACCAACCCTGAACCACGTCTTTCCATAGATCTGCTATTACACGTACACTTCAAAATATTTTCAATAACACTTCAGTGGCAATACACCATCTTTCCTTGTGGATACGGTGTCTGTGAATATTGATTGATTGCTACAGCCAAGTAATGTAATTTAGCCACAGAAAAAGAAGGTGAAAAAAGATGGGGAAAATTTGTGCCAGAAGACAGATTGGTACAATTTACTATAAAAATTCTTTGCAAATGAAAATTTCTCTTGGAATTGTGACGTTCAAACAATTAATTTAGTTCACATGCTGTTCATAGTTTTTGCTATAAGTCATGGAGTTATAAACCCTGGTACTTGCCTGAAATACAACTGGTCCAAAACTATTATTGGTACAGACTTACATAACATCATGTAAGGCCAATATTTTAAAAATAGAAAATAAAAGAAAGTACAATAATATAATCTTATATTATAATAAGTACTAGAAAATGTAGAGAATATAAAACAATACAGATATAAAATAACTGATACCGCAGAATAGTGCCGTGAATAATGACATAACATGACAGTGGACTGACGTTTCAGTTGTTTACTGAGCTTTTTCCCCAAAGGATATAGCACAATATTCTTAACTATCACTCATCATTTCATCTATAGTCTTTTATGTGTATAGATATCGGTTGGTAGGGAATATATTATCCATAGTTAAATGTAATCATCTCCCCATGGTGAGCAAGACTAAAAGATGACCCTGGATGACTGTGTCACACAGCAAAAACCAAATTATCAGACGCAATGTGGAACATTGCTTTCGCTTTTAAAATATGTATGGTTCTGATGGTTATTGTACCACCAGCGTAGGCGCTGGCGGTACACATGGTTTTAGTCCCGACCCGTATGTTCCGCCGGCTCCTGCGGCTCCTGCGGCTCCTGCGGCTCCGCCGCCAAGTCACCGTTACCGCTTCTCCTCCTAGACGGTAAGGGCCTCCATACCCATCTCTTGGATTTAGGTCACCTATAATCTCAACTCGTTCCACGTAAAATTTGGGCTTTGTCGGTATTGGGGTCTAGGTGTGGCACTCATTGCAATGCACCCTTGTCCAAAAATGGCAAAATTAAATGCTAATTATCTCCCCTACAGAAGGAATTATGGGAAAAATTTCTACAGACAGCTTTCCAAAAGTCATATGTGTAGATTTCAAATATGCCCTTGGATTTGACCTTTGACCTTTATTTTAAGGTCAAACGGGCCAAAATTTTCAAAAAAACAAAATTTTTGCCGAAAAAAAAATTATTTGCGGTCTTATTCAGACACCACACAGACTTAACTAATAATATTAATGGAAAGTGTTACCCTTCAGGTCATCTTTCATCTCCGTGAATTTGGGGTCAATCGGTGCATTTTCACGGGAGTAGCGGCCATAAGATATCGAAACTGAAAACTGTCTCTAATTCGGGAACCGTTAATGCTAGACACCCATTCTTTTTTGCATTTTGTAGAGCATGTAAAGCCCAACACTGGTGGTGGTCTCCGTTTTTTTGTATTCCATACGGTTTTCGAGTTACGCTGTATCAAAAAGTACATATT